GTTCATTTGTGAAACTACAAGAAAACAAAATATTTCGTCACGAAGCTTTACTAAAACCATGGCGAAATCGGGGCCAGACTTTGCGCAACAAACAATTAGCCCGCTTATAGCCTAGCGACGGCCCAAAACAGGTTAATTGGGGCTTATTTCTGGCGAGGGAAAACAGGTATCGCGCAAAGGGCATCACAAAATAAGCTCAGGGATTTTGTTTTGTTAATATTTTAACTTTTTAGGGCTTGACGGTATACCTTGAAGTACTTGGGTCTATGAGGCTTATTTTTTAGATTTGCTGGTTTTAATTTACGTTTTTGGAACGGAAAAGGGCGTATTGGTCAAAGGCTAACCACAAAAAAAGTTAGGGGATTGTTAGTTTAGGAATCGAGTCGAGTTTTGGATAGAATAATGACAAAATTAAATTTACTTTTAGAACATAGTTTTAGCAGGAAGAATAGAAACGAGAATGGCCTCTTTGACGCTAGGACAAGCAGAAACAAGTGGGAGGATTTATAATTTTACAAAATTTAGTCGATTTTTGGATAAGATAATGATAAAATTTACTTAATTTTTAGAAAATGGTTTTTAGCATAAAGGATAGACTGGGAGAATGGACTTTCCAATGCTCTAAAGATGCACTTTTCAGATGCAGTCCAACTTTCAAAACAAAGAGCCTCCTCTAGGCTTTCGCAAAGCCAAAATGGCCGACTGCGCGATGTTGTTGTGGATGTTTTTGGATCGATCTCTTCTCTGGCCGCTCTCCAGCTGCACGGTCTATCCCCATGGCCCTGTTTTTCTCGGCTCCTCCGCCACCCACCCCGGCCTATCTGTTTTGGCTGTGTTTTTTTCGACGCGCCGGGGAAACCGGATCGGATTGGCCGGGGTATTAGTCAGCGATGGTCGAATCTTTCAAGGACGTCGTCCATTTATTGAAAATCAAAAATTTTTCACGAAAATTTAGTTATTTTGTATTTCCGGGAGAGCAGAATGCATAATAAGGACATAGAAACTATTTTAATAGGTTTTTTAGTAAAATTTAGTCGAATTTGAAGTCGAAAATCATTTAGAAAACGTTAAAAAGGGCTTTAAAGGTATAAAAAAGTTGAAATTCCGGACGAACACGATTCATTTTGGTCAAAAAAAAAGTTTAAAATTGTACGCTCAGGAATCGTGAAAAACATTTTTGAAACACTTCCTCGATTTGTACGGTAGTAAGAAATTGAACGGAAAAGAAGCCCCTGCTAATGCACAAGCTCTGAAAACCATGTATTTATTGTTCTCATTTTCCCATTTGCTTTTTCCAATAACTCTTTGTAATGTTACTGCTTTCAGGTATGAGCTAGACGTAAAACAACAAGGATGAAGTGGTTCTGCTTCAAGTTTTGGTTCTACTACCGCCTGTTTATGGCCTGTTTACAGATACTTTTCGAGAAAAAAACTCAGATAAATCGTTATTTTTAGCACTTCAACTTTTGCGTCTCGCTCTACACGAACTGCGTGTATTTTGTGCTGTGGAAGAGTTACGATCTGCTATGGTGAGCAAAATTCGCCTAGAGTAAAGCAGTTTTTAGGTTCTGGATGCACATCATGTTGTGCACGTGTTTCCCGCCGTTGCGCAGCGAGAACTACCTGCTCGTGTGGTGCAACTTGATAAAGATGAAGCGGACCCGATATCCAAGGAATACATATAAGGTTTAGTATACTTTTAAATAGCTATTGTTGTTTTTTAGGAAATCTATCTGATGCTCTATGGAGGGACCGGGACAAAAGCTGAGGCAGCACTAGAGGATATGGCAGAAAGGGTGCGTATCAGAAAATCGGTAGACTAAAAGTATTTTAGGAACAAACCGAACGTGTAGAAAGGCGAAGCCGCAGAAGTCGACGGAATCAAAGTCGTGAGCGAGCCCGACGCGGCGAAGTTGTGCCGGAGGAGGAGCTCGAAAGCTCGTCTACAAGTGATAGTGAGGAGGAACAAGACGAGATCGATACGATGGGGAAGCAGAATGGGAAAAGGTAGTATTTATATAAATCCTGCTCATTTCAACCTGTACTCATCAATTTTATGTAAAAGCCACTTTTAGCCACACGATCCCCGATATAATCCGCGAAGAAGAGGAGGAGGAATGCCGAAAATATGTCCGCGTCGGTTCCGCCGTCGAAGATTCGAACAAGGACCTGGAGGCTGGTAAGTTTTCGCTTCAAAGTTGAGCCCATTTTTTAGCCGAAGCCAAGGCCGCCCCCGTTCCGCCACCACGTCGGCATCGTGCCCGTAGGGATCATGTCGAATTGGAGAATGGACGAGTGACGTTTGGCTTGGATAACACGGGTACGTAGACAAGTGATTTTCCAGACTCATTACCCGGTTTTACGTGCTCTAAAACAGTTTTTAGCCAGTGAAGATGCCAAGGAGGATGAGACTTCATCTGACTCCTCCCCGGACCGCCCGGCCGTCCCGACGGCCTCCCGGAGCACCGAGGAGACCGAGGTGCCCCAGTCTGGAGAGGAAAGCGACACGAACAGCACCTCAAAGTGGCTCGACAAAGTCCCCGGCGTCCCGAAGGCCATTCGGAATCGGTAGGGCTTGATTGATAATTTTGTGATTTTTAATATCGAGACATTTTGAGATTATTGCTGATGATGTATGATTTGTGCACCGCTTTTTCTTTTTCAAATTTGTATTCTGAAGCTTTTGCATTATCGGGGGAGGCAGAACCATTTTTTTCTTTAGCATTCAACTTTTCTTATAGAAATAGAGGAGGTGTTTCTCACGTTTTTGGCTGTTCCTGAATTGAAATTAATCAAACCCATCTCAAAATATCGATTTTCCTGTTCTAAATTTTTTGTTTTTTAAATTTCTATATTTTTGTCCAAAAAATTATTGCGATTTTTCGCGCCGTTTTTAGATAGATTTTTAATCGTCGCTTTTAATGGCCCACTTTCAGATTCCGAAAATCCAACTCTTCATCGAAAGACCCGGAACCGGAGCGACCGCCATGGGTGAAGCCGCCAGAGTAAGATACCACTACAAAAAAGTAAACTTTTTTAGGACCACCTTCCAAAAGATCAAATCCGCGCTGACCGGCATCAAGCCATCAATACCGTCGATCCCGAAATTTGGCAGGAGTGCCAGCTCACAAAGCTCACCGAGTAGGGCATTTTTTGCGCTAAAACTTGGTGTTAGGAGAATTGGACATACTGAAGCCCGACTACACGAACACGTACGATGTTCTGGACCCGAAGGCGGCGGCCAGGAGGGAGAAGCACGATCGAAAGGTAGGGGAGTCGGTTATTTGTAAGGGGGCGAACTTTATTCTTTAGGATCCAATTTTGTAAATTTTTTTTCATATTTTGAAGCGCGAAAATTGTGGAAATTTTTAGTAAAAAATTGCGACCGAAATTTCGAATTTTTCATGTACAAAATTTCCGATTTTCTTTACATAAAGAGAGAAAGTGTTTCTCCTTGTTTTTATATTGCTAAACCCCATAGCTGCGGAATGGAAAAAATCGCGAGTTTTTGAGAAAAATGGCTAATTTCCACCAAGTCTCACATTTTTAGTAATTTCCTATGTTTTTAGATAGGTTATCGCTGGAAAGCTAATTTTACTAAAAACGAAACTAATATACTTATTATTTTGTTATTAGAACGCCTAGGAACCCCCCCGGTATTGGCAAAGAACCGGAAATCCGCTTCTTTCAACTCTTTCGTTTCAGGCTTTGACAAAACGCGTGCGTGGCCGCATCCGCGAACAGCTGAGGGAGGCGGCAAGGAAGGAGCGGAAGTGAGCAGTTTCCTAAATTTTTATAATATTGTCTTTTTCTAGGCGCCGAATGATCACCGACGCGATCGAGCTGATCCTCTCGCTGCTGCGAATGATCACGTCGTTTGCCGTGCTCGTCGGCAACATCCGGAAAACCTTCCTCCCCGCCCAAATCAAATACCTACAGCCCGGCCAGCATCACTACGATTATTACCTGCTCAACGCCATCTTCAGGTGAGTTCTGGATTTTTTGTCCTGGCTGGAAAAGACAACAAAGTTTTTAAAAAAATTAACATGACAATTTTAGGGTGACCACCTTCATGGATGTGACCATGTTCTCGCTCAACTTTATGTGGATCTACTGCCTGCAGTGGCATCTGTTCTGTCGGCTCGGCTTCTGCCGCTTCTGGTTCTGGTGCGGCGTCCTGGTTACGGTGGGTCATTTTCTAGAGGTATTTACCGTTGTGATTCCAAGTTTAATAATTTCGAATTTCCATAATGCCGAGTTTTCTTGATAGGAAATCGAAAGGTTTGTCTGAATTTTCATGTTTTGGCTGGCTAGGCGGCGTTTATATTCGCAAGCGACAGCTTGCGAATATAAGCTTCAGGGAAATTCATCATAAAAATTAGCATGGTCTGGAAAAGGGTTTTTTGAAATTCGTCATTATGAAGATTCCGAATTTCAAAAACATACTGAATTATGGCAGTTAGGCATTACATACAACACATAAGGAGTCGGCTTTGTGAAAATCAAGTTCGTCGGAAAGTCGGAAAAAAATGTATTTTGAGAATTAGGTGTTATGAAATTCGGGATTTTGAAAGGCATTATGGTTTTTCGGCAGTACGAAACTCAGTCTGTATGAAATTTGGGATTTGAGGTTTTTGTATGAAGTTTATATATATGTTTATATAAGTTTATATTTCGGTATTGTGAAAATTTTCCTTTATGAAATTCAGGAATTTGGATTCAGCATTATGAAATTCGTGATTATGAAAATTCGGCATTATCAGAGTTAGCATCATGAATATTCGGCATACTGAAAATTCGCGATAATGAAAATTCAGCGTTATAAAAATTTGCTATTTTAAATTCAGCATAATCAATATTAGTCATTTCAACATTTACCCTTTTCCAGATTGCCGTCACGACGATGGTGTGGCCGATGTCGGTGGCGATGGCCGACATGGACCTCTCGTGGTGTCAATTCAAGAACGGATCTTCGTTGGCCAAATACCAGCCGAGCTGGCGGCGTCATTAAGCTCATTTTGTATTTCAAGCCCCTTATTTCTGAAATGTATGTAATTTCTAGCTTTTCCATTGATCCCCAGCCCCTTAACATTTCCATGATCTTCCCTATATTCGCATTTCTATGGCACGAGATTTGAAAAAGTATTCTGGTTTCGAGCTTTTTTTCTTGGTGTTTTTACCGCTACGAGTTTCACGCATCTGCTTAAGCATGTATTATATTGACGGTTTTAGAGCTGCTCTTGCTTTTACAGTATCCCCTCTACCACTCAATTTTAAAACTTTAAAATACCACCAAAACATACTTTTGCCCCACGGGTAATTCTCATCGCGACACTTTGTCAATGGATTCTTTGTTTGCACGCCGCTTTGCAATAAATCGTTTGGCGTTGTGTTTTGTTGAATCGGGAAGACAAAGTGGGACTTTTGATGGAATAAACGGTACTGGACTGTTAACGGGGGAGTGCCGGGGGAAGCTAACGTTTCTCAGTAACCCTGTTTGACCCTATAACAAAGTATAAACTTTTTATAGCATTTTACACCGTCTTTAGAAGCGAACAGATCGTAGAAAAATTATACATATTGGAAAATCGTGGCTTTTTGGTCAAAAATGTATCAAAATGACCAAAGATATCAAAAATTACGGATTTTCTAAAATGTTTAGGGCAGTTTTGTAACTTTCCAGAAACGAAAAACATTATAAAAAACACGATTTATTTATTAACGGATGGCATGGGCAGAAAAATACCCCCCCCCTGCTAGCAACCCAGTACCGAATAAAAACCTTTAGCTTTGGGCTCGTCTAAAAGAGCACCAAAGGGCCAGGCGCCCTTCTCAAGATTTACCCGGATCCCCCGGATATCGATTGATTTATGGGGGCCCAGCTGGGCAGTGCCCCGGCCTTTGCCTCTTGGAAATATTGGCTCTATGTCTGTCGTCAAGGAGTTCAATATTTGAAAAATGACGGGCTTCGGTTCTATTATTCCCATAGGTTTTTATGGCAATAGCGTCCTCGAAGGTCATTTATTGACGTAATTTTGCAAATTTTTTTAGATTTTGAAGATGAAGACGAAGTGGATCTACCCCTGGATTTTGAGGCCATTTTACGAGAACATCTCCATTGCGTGAACTGCTTCACTGCTAGCTGCTCATATTCAGGTAGGTTTAACCGGGCTGGGAGCCTGCTTTAATTTTGACTCCTTCGTAGGGTTTAAAACGTTTTTCAGTCTGTCCTATGACCAGCTGCCGAACGTGCAAATCGGAGTTGCATTCCTGTAAAATGGAGGATCACCTGG